AGACAGATTTTCCTATGGGCTCAAAGTGCATTTCCAAGAGAAGCTTTCTGGTAGGGCTCAAGTGGCGGCATCTGTGTCGAACTCCCTCCATCCATCATGTCAGCATCCAATTGACATCTACTTATAGCCACTTGACAGCCCCTTCCTGGGGCAAACCCTCATATTCCTGAGGGTTACAGGTCCCTAAATTTATGGCTCCCAGATCTCCTTGGTCTTCTCTTCCCAATACCAGTTAGCTGCAGCCTGAAGGCCCTGCCACAGCTTAGGAAGGGCCCTGGCCAGGAGGCGGTGGCAAGTGGAAGGCTGGCAGCTGCTCTGCTCCCTACTGTCCCCACTCCCTCTGCTCTCCCCACGTCACAGACTGGCCTGCGGGACCGGGCAGCAGGCATAAAAGTGGTAGTGACCAAGGCCCCCACCCTAAGCCTGGTGCCATCTTGCAGGGCACAACTCCAAGTTGTGTTTCGGGCACTCCCAGGGACCCCTGCTGAGTCCTCAGGCAAGGCGCTGCTCCACCATCACCACTCAGTCACCATGAGGCCATGGGTCACTCCTGTCTCTGGGTCCTGGCTTCCAAATTGGCTGGATAATGATCCCAGGGCCTCACCAGCTCTGGGATACAGTGCTATCCTAAGAGGGACAAAACCCTCTGCTCTTAAAGCCATGCCCCACCTATTCCAGCTACAGACCTTCATGTTGTTTGACGTGGGCAATTTCCATGTCTGTAACTCAACTGAAAGTTTATTTAATTCAAGAAAGTTTCTCGCAAGAAAGCTCTGTTGAGGTCAGAGGATTGAAGGACCACTTTGGGGACCCTTGCTGAAGATGGGCTCTGCTCCGGGGATGCCCAGCCTAGGTGGTCACAGAACCCAGCTTGCTATAAATACTTGCCGAATGGTGCAGACTTTCTAATGTGTCTTCATCCTAACGTGCTCTGCAGGGCCATGACTTAAGCCACAGACTCCATCCATATTGTCCTGGGGGAAACCCCAGGCCTGGAGTCAGGGACAGTGGAGGGCAAGGATTTGGGTTTTCTCAGATCCCAGTTTGTCTGTTGTCTCCCATTGATTTCAGGCTCTACACAGAGAACAGAGAGAGCTGGTTGCTGTGCTGAGGGAGCCTGAGTGAGGAGACCGCCAGGCCCAGAAGCAGAGGGCAGTCAAGGTCAAGAGCTTGTGGCCAGCATGCCTGGCCTGGGCAGCCTGCCTCTGAGAACGGCTGAAATGGTGCCCAGTCCCTCAGCAGTGATGGAATTTGCTGGAGGACTAGGCCAGAGAAAGCCTCATTGCCACTGTGCCTTTGGGGTACCCTTGGGGTTGGACACACACCCCCTTTAGATTCCTCTGTTTCTTCTACCTGGATAATTCTTGGCCATGTTCTCTCTTCTTTAGGTTCAGATCAGCTTTGCCCCTCCGCCCCACTCCTGCTGGTTCCTGAGCCCTTTTCCCTGGGCCTGGCTTGGAGAATCTGTTTTCAATCTCCACTGATTGCCCCCTTGCTGCCCAGCCCAGGGGCCTTTACCATGTTCTCCCCACATCCGTAAATAAACTTCCTCCACTACACTGTAATCTGTGAGGATGCTTCCTCTGCCTGGCCTCTCTTGGGCCAAGTCTTCAGTCGTGGTCCTCTGGGAGCCTCCAGGCGGGGGTGGGTTGGCAAGGGGCTTACCAGACCATGTGCGGAGAGCAGCAGAGCCCCTTGTACAAAAACCAGGACCCCTGAGTTCCCTGTGGATAGGATGAGCTGCCAAGGAGGTGTCACTCTTGGCACCCTCCAAGAATCATTACGGCCGGGCGCGGTGGCTCATGCCTGTAATCCCAGCACTTTGGGAGGCCCAAAGTGAATCACCTGAGGTCAGGAGTTCGAGACCAGCCTGGCCAACATGGTGAAACCCTGTCTCTACTAAAAATACAAAATTAGGCCAGGTGCAGTGGCTCATGCCTGTAATCCTAGCACTTTGGGAGACTGAGGTGGGCAGATCACCTGAGGTCAGGAGTTCGAGACCAGCCTGGCTAAATGGTGAAACCCCATATCTACTAAAAATATAAAATTAGCCAGACATGGTGGCATGTGCCTGTAATCCTAGCTACTCGGGGGGCTGAGGCAGGAGAGTCACTTGAATCCGGGAGGTGGAGGTTGCAGTGAGCCAAGATTGCACCACTGCACTCCAGCCTGGGCAACAAGAGTGAAACTCCATCTCAAAAAAAAATTAGCTGGGCATTAGAACGTGCCTCTAATCCCAGCTACTCGAGAGGCTGAGGCAGGAGAATTGCTTGAACCTGGGAGGCAGAGGTTGCAGTGAGCCGAGATGGCGCCATTGTACTCCTGCCTGGGCGACAGAGCGAGACTCCGTCTCAAAAAAAAAGAATCGCGGGCACTTTGTTTCTCTTCTTCCACTTCATTCTTCTGCCAGGGCAGCCAAAGGCAGGATGGGTGCTTCCTGGATCTGCCAGAGGGGGAAAGGGGTTGGGTGTGGATGGGGGCAGAACTTTTCCCTAGTGAGGGCTTTGGTGAGGTCTGCCAGAGGCACACTGGGGACACAGGCAAGCATCAGGTGGCCCCCACTTCCCCCCTCCCGTAAACGGCACTCAGCTCAGTCTCCCTCTGCCCACTTTGTTACCATGGAGCTGTGGCATTCAAGCATTCAAATGCCCTGCTCCTGTCAGGCCTGCCCCGTTGGGTGCTTTGTGTACTTGTCAGGTTGGGCAGATGGTCTCAAGCCCTGGTTGGTTGGTGGGTGGGTGAGTGACACAGGTTAGACAGGGGAAGGTCCCAGGACACCTCTTCCCTCTCTGGGCTGACCTGAGGCAGTGGAGGCTCTCAGGTGTGGGATGGGTTTTCAGGCTGGGTTGTTCTGTACCGTAGAGGACAGGCCTTCCTATCGCTTACAGGAACACTACGGGAGGGCAGGTCCCTCCCCAGGGTGGTTAACACCGTGGAGGCTGCAGGGTCAGGAGAATCGGGGGGACCGGGAGGGCGGAGGCACACTCCATCTCCATGCTCCTCAGGCCCTGCCTCCCTGCCTGCTAAGGGCACAGGGAAGGGGTTCCCCACCTCAGTGAGTGCCTGCCTCCCTGCCTTGTGCCTGTGTACCTGGCAGTCACAGCCACCTAGCGTGTCCCAGAGGCCAACCAGTTGACCTCATCTGCCCAGCCCCACCTCCATTGGCTTTGGCTCTTGGCCTTGTGCCGCCCGACCCTTTCTCCTGTTCTGATGTGCAGGGCCTGAGCCATCGAGCTGCGCCCACAGCAGACTGCCTTTGGTGTCTCACCGGGTGAACGAGGGCATTGCGAGGCATCCCCTCCCTGGGTTTGGCTCCTGCCTACGGGGCCAACAGTAGAAATCACAGGCTGTGAGACAGCTGGAGCCCAGCTCTGCTTGAACCTATTTTAGGTCTCTGACCCCTGCTTCCTCTTTAGAATCTCCTTAGAGCTCAGCCAGTGCTCAACCTGAGGCTGGGGGTCTCTGAAGAAGAGTGAGTCGGGGCTGAGGGGTCTCAGGCTGCCCCCTGAGGAAGGAGCCAGAGGCAGTGTCAAGAGCCGGGCAGTCTGATTGTGGCTCACCCTCCATCACTCCCAGGGGCCCCTGGCCTGGCAGCCGCAGCTCCCAACCACAGTATCCTTTGGGGTTTGGCCTACGGAGCTGGGGCGGATGACCCTCAAATAGCCCTGGCAGATTCCCCCTAGACCCGCCTGCACCATGGTCAGGCACGCCCCTCCTCATCACCGGGACACAGCCCAGAGGGTATAAACAGTGCTGGAGGCTGGCGGGGCAGGCCAGCTGAGTCCTGAGCAGGAGCCCAACACAGCCACTGAGACGCCATGAGAGCCTTCACACTCCTCGCCCTGCTGGCCCTGGCCACACTTTGCATCACTGGCCAGGCAGGTGAGTGCCCCCACCTCCCCTCAGGCCGCACAGCAGTGGGGGCTGAGAAAAGGAAGCACCATGGCCCACCTCTTCTCACCCCTTTGGCTGGCAGTCCCTTTGCAGTCTAGTCACCCTGTTGCAGGCTCAATCCATTTGCCCCAGCTCTGCCCTTGCAGAGGGAGAGGAAGGAAGAGCAAGCTGCCCGAGACACAGGGGAAGGAGGATGAGAGCCCTGGGGATGAGCAGGGGTGAACCAGGCTCCCTTTCCTTTGCAGGTGCGAAACCCAGCGGTGCAGAGTCCAGCAAAGGTGCAGGTAAGAGGATGGACCTGATGGGCTCCTGGACCCTCCCTTCTCACCTTGGTCCCTCAGTCTCATTCCCCTACTCCTGCCACCTCCTGTCTGGCTGTCAGGAAGGCCAGCCTGCTGCCAACCTGATCCTCCCAAACTCAGAGCCACCTGATTCCTGCCCCTCTGCTCCACAGCTTTTGTGTCCAAGCAGGAGGGCAGCGAGGTGGTGAAGAGACCCAGGCGCTACCTGTATCAATGGCTGGGGTGAGAGAAAAGGCAGAGCTGGGCCAAGGCCCTGCCTCTCCGGGATGGTCTGTGGGGGAGCTGCAGCAGGGAGTGGCCTCTCTGGGCTGTGGTGGGGGAACAGGCAGCCAGCCCTGGTGGGGACCCTGGAGCCCCATGTGTAGTGAGAGGAGGGATGGGCATTTTGCACGGGGGCTGATGCCACCACGTCGGGTGTCTCAGAGCCCCAGCCCCCTACCCAGATCCCCTGGAGCCCAAGAGGGAGGTGTGTGAGCTCAATCCGGACTGTGACGAGCTGGCTGACCACATCGGCTTCCAGGAGGCCTATCGGCGCTTCTACGGCCCGGTCTAGGGTGTCGCTCCGCTGGCCTGGCCGGCAAACCCAGTTCTGCTCCTCTCCAGGCCCGCTTTTTTCCCCTTCCCCTTGCCCTTGCCCTGACCTCCCAGCCCTATGGATGTGGGGTCCCCATCATCCAGCTGCTCCCAAATAAACTTCAAAAGAGGAATCCGTGGGCCTGTGAATCTGTCCAGTTTATGGAGTGTGGGAGGGAGGTGTCAGGAGGATGGGGGTGAGGAGGTTTTACCTTCTTCAGTTCTAGAAAGTGCTTTCCAAAGTTTTATTTTTTTATTTGTACCTGCCTTGTTCCAGAAAACATTGAAGGTGGCTTCCTAAAGTCTCAACTAGGGATCCCCCCTCTAGCCTAGGACCCTCCTCCCCATACCTCAATCCACTGAACCATCCATAATGCACCCAGATAGGCCCACCCCCAAAAGCCTGGACACCTTGAGTACACAGTTATGACCAGGACAGACTCATCTCTATAGGCAAATAGCTGCTGGCAAACTGGCATTACCTAGTTTGTGGGGATGGGGGGCAAGTGTGTGGCCTCTCGGCCTGGTTAGCAAGAAGCATTTGGGGTAGGCCTAGGTTAGTCGTGTTAGTTCTTCCCTGTGCTGAGCAGAGACTTCAGGAGCACCAGAAATGGAGCCAGATGAAAGGACCCCAACACCTCCTGGCCCCAACCTTTGACAGAGTGTGGGGGCATCTTCAGCCTGGACACGCATGCATCTCCCCTCTCAAGACCCTCAGCACTTCCTCTACTCCCATCAAGAGCCCCCTCACAGTCCCTGTCACACTCTGCCATTCCCCCTAGACACCCCTCCTCTCCTCTGCCCTCTCTCCTGTGCCCTCTCTCCTCAGCGCCTGTTGGTTCCAAGCTGAGATGTGTCCCCACCTGATTAGGCCCAAGTCTGGGCTCCTCCTCAGCACGGGGGCCTGGCCTCTGCCCCCTCCAGGGCAGGGTCAGGGATGGGGCTTCACTGTTGTTTGGCCTGAGCACCCCCCTCCAGTGGGCCACCCTGCAGCAGAGGGCATGTACCGGGGGCCCGAAGCAGGGAGGCTGTGAAAGCAGCAATGATGAGTAGGTTCCCGGCTACAGCCAAGACCAGTGTGGCCACTGTGCCTGCCAGGCCCAGGGCAGGTTCCTGTGTGGCCAGCCAGGCTCTGCGCGATCCCATATCAGCCAGCACTGCCTCCAGCTGGAAGTGGGTGCCCAGCACTGCACAGATGTGGAATAGCTGGTGGCTGTGGCCTGTGGAGAGGATGGGCAGGTCAGAGCCACACCTTTCCCAGTGCAATTCACCCCATCCTCTAGGCCTGCTACTCCCCTATTGAGAATTAAGAAACCCTGACTCCCAGAGTGACTGAAAGGAGTGAATGAGCATTTGTGCATGTGGCCCCAGCACACATGCTACTAGTTTTGCTACCTGAGAAGTGGCAGGTGGAGGACTCTTCCAGTGATGCTCTCGTTAGAGGAAGACAGGGAAGTCCCTCCTATAATTTGCCTCCATCCTGGGGCTGTAATACCCATTTACCCAGTTCATTCTGTGCTCTGGGAAGCCATCTGCCCCTGCCTCTTCCCGGGCCGGGCCAGGCGTGCCCTCACCGATGTAGTCAAAGCGTCCTGGTGCCAGCCTTTCAGGCAGGTGGGAGGCGAAGAGGAAGCCAGTGAGCAGCGCACAGAAGAGGTGGTAGCCATGGCTGGTGCTCAGGGCCTCCTGCCCACAGCTGTGGCCCCTGCCCCAGCACAGCCCGAGCTGGCAAAGGAAAAGAGACTGCTGGAGAGGGACTTGGGAGCCAAAACATAGGGAGTGTCTGGGATCTGGTGAGGAGGCAGAGCGGACGGGCACAGCTAGGCAGGGTGCTGGACCAGAAGAGAGGCGGCTGGGCTGAGGCAGGGACTGAGGGGGCAAGGCTGGAAGTGGGCACTTTGAGGGTCTGGACAGGAAAGCAGGTGTCTGGGCAGGGGCCCCAGGCCTCCTTACCCGATAAAAGAGTGGGAGGTTGTCGAACAGGAAGGGATAGGCGAAGGCTGCTGTGCGGAGAACCTTACTGAGCCCAGGGCTTTCCAGCTCCAGGAAACTGGGAGGCGGGAGGAAAAGGCTGGTCACCATCGCTGTGCTCAGGGTAGGGGTCAGGAAAGGCAAGAGGACTTGGGCAAAGATGGAATATCAGCACAGCCTGCAGCTAAGAAAACCCTTAGGGCGTATGACCTGTGTAAACGACCACATCTGTATGTGGGGATAAAGACATCTGCCTTTTATGGTGGCTTGTGAGAATTAAAGGAGACAGCATGGGTATGAGCATACAGGGTCTGACAGAGGAAGTCCTCAGTACATGGTCCCGATGTCACTAATGCTGTTTGAGAGCAGTGAGGTGTGTCCTCTCCTGTGCCTCCGCCTTCCCCGTCCCCACCGGAGGGGCCTGGGAACCCACCGGGAGTAGCAGGAGAGGCCGGTGCACAAGAAGGAGTTGAGTGCGGCGGCAGGCACAAAGAACTGGTGCAGGCGGCCGTGCAGCCAGGAGGCCGGCATGGAGTAGGCGGCATAGGGGAAGGCGCAGCCTGCGGTGAGGTGGGGGCATGCAGCTGAGGCCTGAGGGGCACGCCCCTATGTCCCGTGTACCACCCCTCGACCTGCTCCGGGACGCCCAAACCCCGCGCTCCCGCGCTCCCGCGCTCCCGCGCCTGTCCGGCTCACCCAGGCTGTAGAGGCTGAGGGCGCCGTAGTCCAGGAAGTAGCAGATGTGGCGCGCGCGGGGCGACATGGAGCTGAAGGTGTGCGCGCAGCACGACGCGAAAGGGTAGAGGCAGGCGGGCAGCAGGAAGACCAGCAGCGGCCAGTGGTACGGCTCCGCGCGGAAGCCGGGGCCGCCCGCCAGCGCCAGGAGCCGCCACAGGAAGTACCTGCGGCGGGCGCGTGCTCAGGCCGCCGTGGACCCCCGCGACTGCTGCTGCAGCCCGTGGGCCTGGACGGTCCCTGCCCGCCTGGGTACCCCCTCTGAGCTCAAGGCCGCGGCCTGGGGCAGAGCCTCCCCTCACCAGGTGGGCACGAAGTGAGTCCAGATGTTGACCGTCTCGTTGGTCATCTGGAAGGAGCTGAGAACACAGTCCAAAGCCGAGCTGGTGGGGCGGCGGTAGCCAGACATGATGCCATCTTCCCAGAACACCTAGGGTAGTGGTGGGAGAGGAGGGGCGTCACTGTGCCCCGACCCTTTCCCTCCATTTGAGATCTCTGGAAGCAGGGTCAAAGAGGCTGGGCTGGAGACCAACGTGGCCCCCAAGCCAAACTAAATCTGATCTGATCTTACCACAGGTCCCAGCACCCACAACCCGCAAAACAGATGGGAAACCGAAGAGCCAGAGTGGGGTGGGGTGGGGGTGGGGCGCAGCACACAGGGCGCTCTGGGGAAGGGGACTCCAGATGGAGGGCCACAAGCTTGTTCCTCAGAGAAGAGAGGAAGAGCCTCACAGTGGAAAGGGAGAGTAAGAGTTCTCCTGCAGGAGGGGCTGCCCCAATAGCTAAAAGAGAATGTCAGCCCCTAGTCAGTCCTCTAGGGAATGGGGGTTGGTGGGTCAGTGAGTGGAGCCCCTCACCCGGGGGACCTGGTGGACTTGAAGAAGTTGGGGCAGCTTGAGACTGAGCATGGTGGCCTGGCACCTCCACGTTGACCTAGAGACAGAGCAGGGGACAGGGGATCAGATATCTGCCCCCATCCACAGGCCCCTTTCACCTGGGTTCAGCCCCAGGATGGGCAGCACGTGTGGGAGGCAGACAGCACCCTCCCTCCTGGAGCTGCTTCCTTCAGGCCCAGGGAGGCTGGTCCACCTTCCCCAGCCCTTGCACCACTTAACTCCAACCCCTGTTCTCCTTGGGGCATTCAGTCCCCACACTGAGGGGCTTGGCGGCCTCAGCCCAGCATGGAGTGGTGGGGTCCTCCCAGCCAGGAGGCTGCCCCAAATAGTGATCCAAACCCCCAGGCTCCCAGTTTGTGTCTCGGGAAGAACCCTGACTCCTGGAGGCCAGCACAGAGACAGCCCGGGTACCACTCCCTGCCCCACCAGAACGTGCTTCGCCCACAGTGCCCGAGCTGAGCACAGAACACTCTTGGCACTCAGAGTCTCTGGAGAAGCCAGATGCCATCAGGTGGGACAAGGAGTTGGAGGATGCCTGGCTTTTCTCTGAGGACTACACTTGTGCCCCCCAGGAGAGTTTTGGGGTCCCTGCCCCTCCTGAGCCCCATATCCCTCAGCCCCAGACCTGTGCACTGCCTCCAGGTGGCCGCGGCTCTGCTGCCCTGCTGGCCTCTCCCGGCACATTCCTTGGCACAAGTGGAGGGGCTGGGCCAGCTGGGCAGGCGGAGCTGCCCCAGGAGGAGGACTAGGACACTCCCCCCACCAACCCAGGCCAAAACTTTGCAGCAACTCTAGAGCCTAGTCCCTCCTCTTCCTGCCACCAGCAATGCATCTGTGTTTTTGCTGCATGCACTCTGGGGCTTGCACCAGCAGTCACCCCCCAGCCTCTGCCCCTGAGATGGGTGCTGGAGACCCTGCTGGGCACAGGGCAAACCTGGCCCTAGTCCCTGCACCCCAGCAGAACAAAGATGGATGAGGGCCTCCCAGGGTATCCTTTGCTTGCTCCCACAAGTGGGATGGGGGAGTTCTCCCCTATCCTGAGTGCTGCCCATCTATCTGGGGAAGGAGTGAGGAATACACTGGGGTCTAGCTCCCCTCACGGTGCCTTCCCTTAGTAGTAGGGTTTGGAGATCTCTGGAGTGGGGTGTGTGCAGTTGCTGTGGGAATGGGGGAGGGACGGCTGGAGCAAGGTGCTTTACCTCTATTTCCCCAGAGAGGTGGTGTCAGAGCCCCAGAAGGTGAGCTTCCTTACCCAGAGCTTGGCGGGTGCTCCTAAGCTGGTGGGTCAGCAGGCCCAGGGCTCCACGGGCGGAGTCCGAGGCTGCTGCCAGCCAGGCTGATGGAGGAGAGGGGCCAGGCCTGGGCGGGGAGTGGGGAGACAAAGGGGAGCCAGGGAACAATCCCAGCCTTGTCCAGCCTCCAGGGAGCAGCACGGGGTGGCCCAGCCCCATTAGCAGGCAGCTCACTCGGCCGCCTGCACACAGCCAGCTCCTCCAGCACAACCCCAACTCCCTGTGCTGACTGGCTAGAATAGGCTAGGGGCCCAAGCCAGGATGTGGCCACGGTGCTGTAGAGTCCCCCCGGCGACTGACAGCAGTTTTCTTGTTCCAGGTTCTCCCAGCAGTTAAGGACAGCTCTGCCTTAGGCTGTCAGAGGAACCCAAATCCCCAAATGCGGAACCTATTTCAGAAGCCATCTCTCACCATGCTTTGCTGCCTTTTAGCACCTGGTGCTGGGTAGGGCTCAGAGCAAACTGCCTTTGGTAAATGTTGGTTCTACCATGCGGGATTCACCAGGCTCACCACCTCCCCATCCCCACCCTGAACACAATTTGAAGTGCCAATCTTTGCAGGACAGGCACTTGAGGATTCAGAGGCTGGTTTCAAGGCTCACCTCCCCCACCCCCTTGAGGAAGAGGACCCAGCTGGTGACAGTGAACCAACCCCAGGCAGGGATGTTGCTGGCAGGAGATTTTCACTATCACCTCTGCAAAGGCACTGCCTCAGTTTACAGGGTCAAGGAGCTTGACAGTGTCTATCAAACCATCTCCAGGGCTTTCACTCAAACTGCCTGCTTCTTGTTCTGTTCCATCCACTTCAAAGAAGTCTTTCCAAAATGCATTTCAGGACGCCATCTTCAATGTCCCACCTCCCCATGAAACTTCTGTACAGACAGGCACCAGGAGACAGGGATTGGGCTTGGGGGGGTTTATTAAGTGATGCTTTAGTCTCAGTCTCTGCCAGCAACTGGGGGTGGGGTGACTCCACTCACCCCAGGATTTCCCAGACTTGCTGTTTTAGAGGAAAGAGGCAGGAAGCCAACTATCCTCTAAGCCACAGCTTGGGAAACTAGGCTAGTACTGGGGTGGGGGCAGCAGAGCTAAGACCCTCCACCCCCAGCCCGCAGCCTGTGCTATCCTCCCAGCCTGAGGGGGAGGAGCTGAGGCAATTCTGGCCTCAGCCTCCCACACACAGCCCTGCTCTTGGTGCGCCATTCACTGCCCTGAGCTATTCATGATCTCTGCTCCCACATATTCACCTCAACACTCCAAAAGCCAGCCCCACACTCAGCCCCTTCAGGTCTTTAGTCCTGGGGAGGGCAAAAGGAGGGACAGAGGGCTCTGACTGAGCAGCTTCAAGGGGCCTCTCCTTTCTGCTGCCCACTGAATGCCAGCCCCTTGTCTTCAGCCCTCCCTTAGATAGGAAGCGGGGTGGTGGCCTCAGACTGCACCCCCTTTCTTCTCTTCCTGACATCCCATTCTCTCCCAGCACAGCAGCCAAGAGCACAAAGCACAGCACCTGTGGGGCTGGTGGGCACAGGAGCCCATGCTGGCACAGGCCAGATTGCCTGCAGCCCTAGGTGGGGCCTGCTCCCTGCCCTGGAAGCTAGACAGAGGGAGACAGAAAGCAGAAGTGGGGCAATGGGATGTGCAGCCCCTGTGGCAGGAGGAGGAGCACACGAACCCTGACCCTGCTATTCAGTGCAGGCCACACCAGGCCTTGCTTCTTTAAGAGCCCCTGTGGCTAGCTCCAGAGCTGCCTGGTCCCCATAAAGGGGGCTGAAAGGAGGATGGGTGATCCTTGAGGAGGGGAAGGGTCTGCAGAGAATCACTCAGACACCAGATATTACCCGGCTCTTCCCCCAAGAACTGGAGGGTCCAAACTCCTGGCCCCAACCACTCTGCATCTTGGGTGAGGAAGAAGGGCCTTTTCTGCTGTTCCTTCCCCTCAGAGATCCAAGAACCCACTCCAGTGAAATGCAGGTGCCCATGCCTGCCACCTGCCCCTGGAGACAGCAGGGGAGCTGAGGCAGGAAGGCTGGCCAGGGGCCCACAAGACTCTCCTAATCCAAGCACTTTCCTCACTTTCCTAACGTCTTGGCAACAAAGGGACCCCACCCTCCCAGCCGGCTCCTGGGCCCTCCCTGCAGCCTCTGAGCAGCTAGGCCTCCGTCCTGTGTGCGTGCATGAGTCTGCGTGTGGTGGGGTGACTACAGGCGCTGGTCCTGGCTGCCAGGGAGGGCAGGAGAGATCTGGAGTCAGCCCCACTGCAGGGCCTGGGGGTCAGTATCAACCAATCTCCTTCCACTGCTTGTAGAAGTCCAGAACATTCTTGATGTCCACGCTGGCGTGGGCAGCGGCCTGCAGGGCTGCCTGTGGAATGGGAGGAGGAAAGATGGAGAGGGTCTGACCTCCTGAACTGAGGAGCAAATCATTGAGGCGCTGGGGAAGGAGTGATGGAAGAGAAAAATGCAGCTATGTGGAGGGTCTGGGGATGCAGTCTGCTCTGGTACCTCATCCCTATTCCACACCATCCCCCCAACTCACCCATGACCCACCTGCATGGGGCCTGAAAGCACGCTGGGGTTGTCCAGTGGAAGGCCTGTGATGATGGTCACCATGCCGCTCGGATCCTCCTCACCTGCCCCCTGGGCCAGAGTCAGCTGTTTGCAGCTGTCCAGGATCTTATAGAGAGTCCTGGGGATGGGGGGTGGAGGGGAAGATGGGCCAAGACCCAGCATTAGCACAACCCAAACACCAGGATCTCCAGGGGACAGGGGCAGCTAGGGGCAGCTGGGGGCTGGAAGGGCAGCAAGCGGCAGTGGGCTCTGGAAGCTGGCCCTGGAGACACTATGGGGAGCCGGCAAAGGTGCGATGAGGGAAAACACCAAGCCTGAGCATCGCAAGGCCCGAAGAGACTGATCCATCTGCCTACAGAGGAAAAGCTCAGGTGCTGGGGCAACTTCATACTCCCCGCAAGGTGAGGCCTGCAGGAGGGCCCCAGCAGGCTACGTGTGGAGCCTCAGAATTCTCCAGCCCTACCCGTTCTCCCTAGGAATGCTCATGGAGGAGCAAGGCAGGTGGCTTGACTGAGGTTCTAGGGGTGAGGGCTAAACTGTTACCAGGCATCTGCATCCTGCCTCTTCAGCTTATGCCGCTCAAAGCTCTTTCCCACCTCTTTCTGGCAGCGAATGTACCTGCAGAGGAGATGTGCGAGTGGAGGTCAGCAGCAGGGGACTGGCAGGGCGCCTTACATGAAGCAATCTGTTGTGGCTCTGGGGGCCTGGTTTTGCAGGTGGGGGTGGGGAACATGTCTCTCCCACCACAGCTTTGTTTGGAGCCATTCTTAAGTGGCTTCCTGGCTGCTGGGCCCAGCTCACTTTTTCTCCTGATAACATCAATTATTTGGTTCCTCTCAGGGGAGGAGCTGAGAGGGGAGAAGCAGCAGATGCTTTTCAAGTCAGGGCTTCTGGAGACAAGGTCCAAACAATCAGGCCTTGTGCAGCTTCCTGGCCAGGCAGAGCAGATGCAGAGGAGGGGGTGGGCCAGCTAGCAGGGAAAAGGAAGCTTTCTTCTTATTCCCTACACCCTCTGCCTAGTCCTCCTCCGGCCCCAAAGGCCAGAAGGGCAGGCCTGTACTGGCTCAGCATCTGCTACATGCTGCCAGCTGCCCCTCCCTGGCTGGCTTCAGTCTCACCACTCTCTCAGCTCAGCAGGGAGGTGGGAAGCCCCTGGGCAGCCCGGAAGAAGGCCCTCACACTCTGAGAAACCTGATCACCTGTCCCAACGCTAAAGCAGGAGAAATTCCTATAAAGTCTAAAGCTGGGGGAAGGAGATCTGCTCCCTTCTCCCCAGTGGGTGCTGATCACAGGCTTGTCGCAGAGGAAGGACAGCAGCTCAGTGCTACCCACAGGGCTCCTGGCCCCTTTGGTCACCCTCTATTTCAGCACCTACAACCTTGACTTCTGATTATCTCTGGTATCACTGCCCACACAGTGAGCTGACTGTGAGTAGAGATGGGTATGTATGTGTCTTACCCATAGGGAGCAAGCAGCTCATAAGCATGTGTCGTCCGAAAGACAGACCCAGGGCTCAGCACAGATCCAGCCAGGCCTGCACTCACCTGTTTCCTTTTTTAAACTCTGCCTCCAGGTACCGAATCCCATCCCGGGCCCCTGGGTGTTCCTTCTTCAGCAAATCCAGGCCATCGATCACTGGTGGGCAAGGTGGGGGTAGGAAAGGACAAAACAGATAAGCTCCGACTGCTGTGACAAGGGGTTCTGGAGGAAGTATCTGAGCTCACCTCAGTACACTCTTCAGGCAGAGAAGGGACCCTGGCTCCAGAGAGGGCTCCCAAAGTTCTCTGAAAATGTGACCTTCCGCCAGCAATATACTTGGCAATTTACCAAATGCTTTCACATTATATTCACTTACATTTTCTGTTTCTCCCAACTGTCTTGTGAGGCAGAACAGGGATTGTTATGTCCATTTCACAGATGAAGTGACGGGTTCATAAAGGTGGTAAGACTTGACCAAGGTGACTGTGTATAAACTGGGCCCAAATAAGGTCTCCTAATCCCAAGCCCAGAATCTCCTTTAGCCATACTCTATCTGTCCCCTTATCTCTCCAATGTACTTACCTGTCCTTGGGATGATGACAATGAAGCGGCCACTGGTGGCCAGTTGGCGGATGACAGGGAGATGGTGGCAGAGGGCCTGGGTGTCGGGGACGAGGTAGGGAGACATGGCTGACTGGGCCTTGGGCTGCTGCAGGCTGCCCTCCAGCTGAGACACTTCGAGCTGGTGAGAGAGGGCAGGGTGGGCACAGCTGCGGGGGACCCCTGCAGCCAGGCTGGGGGAAGAGTGGTGCTCAAGGTGGCTCTTATAGGGCTCCTCCTGTTAAGGGGATCAGAGGACCCTTTCTACCAATGGCTTTGGGGGGAAAGTAGACAGAACTAAGGGTTAAAGAGAAAGGGAGAGACAGAAGTGAAGGCAGAAAGGAGGCACATGGCTGAATGAAGCGTGAGTAGTAAGGAGGGTGATCTGGGAGAAGTGGAGGGACACAGAGGCAACAGAGCAGGGGGACTGCAGCGGAAGGGGGAGACCTGCCAGTAAGGTTGAAGCAAAAGCTCTACCAAGTGCAGAAGCAGCACTTGGGCCCTGATTTCCTACCTGAAGTCGTAGCTGAGCCATGTCTCTCATGAGCCTGTTCCGACGAGCTTCCTCCTGTGCCTATGAGGGAAACAACGAGCTATAAGGAGCTGGGGTACACACTCCCTTCTCCAGTCATCAGGAAGACCAAGAGGGTTTCCTGGGGTCTCAGTGTGACCTCATGCAAAGTCACTCTCTAGCACTGCTGCTAAATGAGGGGAGGAGAGCCATGGAAGAACAAATATTCTTCTGCTGCACTCTGAACACTTCCATTACCAACCCGAGGCAGGTCATGATGTTCCAGGCCCTGCAGGGGACGGGGAGCAGACAGCCATGTGCCGTTGCCATGCAGGACATCACCTGGCTGTGCCTCAGGATTCAATCTCTGCTCTTCTCAATCTGGTCTCCCCTCCCAGGAGATCCTACCCAAGCACTTCCTCACCTTCT